TGTGTGTGTGTGTATTGTGTAGGGGGAGATGAGTCACCAGGGCAAAGCAGAGGCCCAGAGGAGCTCAAAGACTTTATCTTGCCCCAACTCTTCCTGTTTGGGCTGCCAAGACTAAGTGGTGGTTTTTTAGCAGGCCTAATAGTAGTGTTTCAGGGGCTCTTGTCCCTGAGCTAAACCTCATGCCCTGCCTGGCTCCTGAGACATCTTCATTAGGCTACCAACCTCTGTCTGGTCTGGCTATGGGTGACAGGCAGACACTCCTGGGAATGCCTGTGGAAAAAGTCACTTTTTTTTCTTTTAGTTTTTCCAGACAGGGTCTCCCTGTAGCCTCAGCTCCCCAGGTTGCCTGGAACTCACTATGTAGACTAGAGATCTACCTGCATCTGCCTCCTAAGAAGCCATTTTATAAAGGGATGATGCTGAGCTCAGGATTCAGGCTGCAGGCAGAAGGAATGGTGGTGGGTAGAAAGGAGGCATTGCTGTCAGCTAGAGGGCAGAAGGCTGGGCTTAAAGGAGGCTGACCCAGGCTTAGCCTTGACTGACTACAAACAACTGGTGGGAGCTGGGGCTATGTAGGTCAGCCTTTCTTGACCTCACAGAAAAAATTATATCACAGGAAAATATAACTATTTTTTAAACATTTCTCTCTCTCTCTCTTTTTTTTATTAACATTTATGTATTGTGTCTCTTCAGGATTGGGGGAGTGCACATGCCACAGCATGCATGTGAAGGTGAGAGGACAACCTGCAGGAGTCAGTTCTCTCCTTCCACTATGTGGGTCTTCAAGACTGAACTCTAGGTGGCAGGTGCCTTTACCATCTCACTGGCCCTATTTATTTTTGAGACAAGGTCCATGTAGCCCAGGTTACTCTTCAAGTAACTGTAGCTGAGGATGACCTCAAACTTCTGATCCTCCTAACTCCATCTCCTGAGTGCTGGAATTATAAGTGTGCACCATCATGCCCAGTTTATGCAATGCTGGGGATCTAACCCAGGGTTTCATTCATGCTGGACAAAAATTTTACCAAGTGAGCAATATCTCTAATCTGGGAAATAGGAAGTATCTGGAGTGGCCAGTGGGAGGCAGTACCTAGGGCCTTCAAGAGGCGCTTATCAAGTAGAGCTTGCTAGCTAGAAGAGCCCTGGTAGAAGCTTCAGGAAACCAAACAAGGGCATTGGCAAATGGTATAAAAGGAGCTACAGGATAGACTGACACAGTAGTGCTGAACAGCATCCAGAGCCAGGCATCCCGGGATTCAATACCAACTCAAGCAATTGCAGAGGACCCAGGTTTGGTTTCCAGCACCCACATGGTAGATAACAACTATCAGTAACTCGAGTTCCAGGAGATCTGATGCCTTCTCTGGCTTCTGTGGACACTGTGTGTATATGCTGCACTTACATGCATTCAGGGAAAATACTCACACACATAAAAAGGGGGAGAGCTATCACAATAGTTAAGAGCAGCATGCTGCTCCTGTAGTTTAGTCCCTAGTACCCACACCGGATGGTTCGCAACTACCTATTACTCCATCTCCAGAGGATTCGGATGCCTCTGGGCTCTGGGCACCAGCATTCACATGCACATACCTCCCTCCACATACACATAATTAAAAATAAAAATAAATATTAAAAGGGGGCAGTGAAATGGCTCAAAGGGTAAAGGCGCTTATCATCAAGCTTGATGACCTGAGTTTGATCTCCAGGACCCCCATAGTGGAAGGAGAGCAGTATCTCCTGCAAGTTGTCCTCTGCTTTCTACATATGGTGCAAGCACGAACACTGCCCCCCCACAAATTAATTAATTAAAAAGGAAAGAGATAATTAATTAATTATCAGGTATGATTATTAAATCATATGTTCTTCATCAGGTTATCATGAAGATTAATTAATAATTAATCAGTAGAGAAACAAGAGCAATAATGACACACAGTATTTTTATTATTTAGAATCAATGTCTAGCACCCAGATCCATGGACACATCTATTCAGACTCTGGTTACTCAAAGTTTGGTCCACTGACCAGAAGCATCAGTATGACATAGGGGCTTGTTAGAAATGGCATTTTGGAAAACTGGATGCGGTGACTCATGCTGGTAATCCTAACACTAAGGAAGTCAGAGGCAGGAGGCTAGGAGTGCAGTCCAGGCCTGACTGGGCTACTTTGTGTGACCCTTTCTCAAAAAAAAGAGGGGATGAATTGAGTAAGGAAGGAAGGAAAGAAGGGAGGGAAGGAGGAAGAGTCTGGGACTCAGTCCTGGAAGCACTGAGTCAGAACCTACCCTTGATTAGAGTTCCTGGGGGAATTGTGTCCATGTAGAGGGACATATCACAAAACTAGACAGATCAGTCTCTTTGGGAAGGAGGCCAAGAAGAGTTGACCCACGTCAACATGGTCATTTAACATGGGAAAACTGCAGCCGTGGGAGCCTGGCAGAGTCCCTATACATCAGTATGGTGGTACAACTTGGTACCTGGAGCAGCCACGGGGGCACGATGGTTAAGGCCAGGTCTCCAGAGACTGGGGGATGCTGGAAGGTCAAGTGGTGGTTTGCTGGAATACCAGGTGCATAGGAGGTGGTCCACCTGCTCCTGGCTGCAAATTGCACGCAGGTAGTCCTTCCCACTTCCACCATCCAGGTCCTCTGGGGTTTTCGGGGGTTCTTGTGGCTTTGGGTTCCCACCTATTAAGTTCCGACGCAGCCCTAGGGCCTGCAGCTCATTCTGCATGCTGGCAAAGAAGTGCAGAATGCAACGGTGCGCAAAGTCCCGTGCATGCTCACAGCACGTCTCATCAAAGAGCTTCTGTTCTAGGTCCACGTAGTTGCTCCAGTATCTGCGCTGCAGGAAGACTGTCTGGTCAAAGCATGGCCTGAGGCAGCGGGCCAGGAAAGCCACCACTATCAGAAGCAGGGTAATACTCCATCCAATGGCCTGGAGGGTGAGGAGGCATTCGTGGGATGCAATGGGGCTCAGATGCTGGGCAGTGTGTGCTCCAAAGCCCCTCCCTTTATTTAATCTCTCCTTCCTTCATCAAATCTATACAGTCTATACATTCAGCCACTGTCCTGCCAACCATCCTCTAGGTTCATCTATCTAGCCCCCTTTTCACTCATCCTCCTATCCTTGCATTGATTCATTTACTAACCATCTCTCTACCCATCCATCCAATCATCCATTCTCTTCTCTAACTGTATGACCACCATTGTTCCATCTAGCCATCCTCCCATCTGCCCATTCTCTTAGCCATTCACCTCTCCTCCCATCTGTTCATGCTTCTATAATTTTATTCTTCCTTCTGTTTATGGCCTGCTCCCCTACATATCAACCATCTTCTCATTTTACCCGCTCCTTTACCCTCACATATGTTATCCATGCATCCTCCCAACCATGCTGTATTTTATGAGACACTACACTAGGAATAGGGACAGGGGACCAGTGTTCCAGACCAACAGTGAGAAGATATTAGAAGTCATTCTCTAAGGCTGAGCTCACACCTGGCTGACTCCTCTCCTTTCTCTCCTCCAAAGCTGCAGTCTCTTCCAGTCCAGCTGAAGGCCTGGAGTAGAGAAGGCACTTGGCTAAATCACAGACATGAGAATCCTTGTCACTTAAAGATGCAATTCTCACCATTTGCAGTTTTCTTATTTGGTCACACACAATGTTCCCCATTAAACAAGTTAAGTGCTTTATATATAAGAAGCAGAAAAGCCAAATAATCTGCTCAGCTTGACAACCTAAAACTGAGTCAGAATTCAAACCCTGGGTCTGACTGCAAACTGCATGCTTTTTCCACTGAACTTGGAGAGCCTGGAGTGTCGTGCATCCTAGGTGCCTGTCTTTCCTCACACCTCAAGCCTCTGTTTCCCTTGAGCCTGACTGAGTCCTTTATTCCAGAGGGCAGGGCTGAAGCCTTATGACCTATTGTCCTGGCGGCACTCCAGGGTTGTAATGGAATCACAAATGCTCTGTGGTGGACACAGGCTAGCATGGGGCTTTGGTAGTAGTGGTGGTGGTGGGCTGTGTTTGCTCCACTCCAATATAATGGAGTAGGTGCCCAGTAGGGAGCCAGGCATCTGAGGAGGAGCTGATTTTTAGGGAGGTGGTTAAAAGGCACAATGGTGACATGTGCTAAGACCTTTGCCCTTCCTGTTATAAGCTGTATGACTTTGGCTTTCCGAACTAAAAACCCTCAGAACCTCAGTTTCCTCATCTGAAAACTGGAATGATAATGACTGCCTCCATCTCATAGTGTTGTTCTGAAATGTAAATCAGCTAATACAGATAAAATGCTTAACAAAATGCCTGACAGGGAAGTACTCAGTAAGTAACAATTAATATTATTTCTGACTGATTGGAAGATTGTGTGTCTAGGGTGGAAAGTAAGCATTACAGTACATCACTAGCATTCTCCTGCCATCTAGCCTCCTGTGAATGGGCCAGCTGGCTATGTGGAGGCAGGGTATCCCTGGCTAAGTTGGTATTGGTGGGCCACCTCTCAAAGACAATGCTCTGCCCCTCTACACCTGCTCTTGGTTATTGAGTAGTGAGGAAGATCTTCAGGAAGTCATGTGGCTGTAGCCCAGCCCCAACCCCAAAGCCATGCAGGGTATCTGTGAGGGCGCCAGGCCTGAGAGAAGGACCACCCCACTTACCTGTGACAGGCACCGCAGATATCGGGACACGGCCTTTCGTGCAGGGCTGTCTCTCACCAGATCATCTTCCTTGCAGGGCACCTTGGCCAGGAAGAGCTGCACCTGGCTGGGGGTCATGTTGGCAAAGTCCAGAAACTTCTCAGGGTCAACAGAACTGCTGAAGGCACACACAAAACACTTCCCATCAAGGAGGGCCAGCAGGATCCAGACCAGGGGTGCTGCTAGAGCTCTCTGCAGCACAGAGGAGCACATGTACCTGAGGGCAGAGGAAGGAGGTCTCAAAGGGCAGCCAGCATACAGCTGGAGACAGTGGGAGCTGGATGCACAGCACTGCCACTTCCTAGCCTTAGGAACATGATCAGGGCGTTTCTTTCTCTCTGACCCTCTCTCTCTTTGGGTATGGTCTCATGTATTTCAGTCTGGTCTTGAATTCTCTGTGTAGCTGGGGATGACCTTCAGCTCCTGTTCCTCCTGCCTGGAACTCACTATGTAGATCAGGCTAGACTTGATCTCACAGAAATCCACCTCTGCCTCCTAAGTGCTATGATTAAAGGCATGGGCCACCATGCCTAGCTCTGCCTCCATTCCTGAGTGCTGGGATTACAGGCATGTTGCCATCATATTTGGTTTAGGCAGTGGTGATTCAAACCAGGACTTCATGCATTCTAGGCAAGTACTCTGCCAACAGAGCTACACCCCTGGCCTTTTGCCAGGGTTCTTAATGTCTTTGTACCAAAGGTTCATCATTCTGGAAAGCAGATCTGCTAAAGGAACAGACTCAGGGCTGAGGAAAGTGAATTCAGAGAGGGTATGCTTGCAAAGCACTCTACAACACAGTCCTTGGCCCCATGTAGGTATGCAGCACCAGCCAGTGAGTAATAGGAATTGCTAAGCTTCGTCAGCTGATTTATATGTAGGGCATTATCCTTTTGCCAGACCCTGAGGACATAGGACTACAACAGGTAAGGTACATGTCTCTTACAAAAGATGGGATGCAGTCTTTATAATAAACTATTGCCTCTCCAGGCAGATCTCTGTGAGTTCAAGGCCAGCCTGGTCTACATGGCAAGTTCCAGGCCAGTTGGGGCTACAGGGAGACCCTGTCTCACCCCCACCCCCCAAAAAATTAAAAAAAATAAACGACTGCCTCTCACTGCATGTTAACAAACAAACAAAACCTGCTATGTATTCACTGTGACAGATACTGTGTCCTGGGTAGTACTTGGGAACTCTGTGTCCTGTATCATTCCTGTTTTAGCACTGGCCATGGAAAGGTAGCAAATGGTAGGAACAAAATACGTGTTTTTAGGGCTGGTGAGTAGCAAGTGGGGTACTTGCTACTAAGACTGACAACCTGAGTTCAATCCCCAGAACCCACATGAGAACTGACTCCTACAAATTGTCCTGTGATGACCTGTGATACACACACACAGACATTTCCAAAAGGTGAATGAACTGAATATCTTTGAGCTGATGATGCTTGGCTGGGGCAAGGAGGAGAATGTGTAATAGTGCCTACTGCCCATGCATAGCAAGAGAGAGGTGTGTGGGACCCTACCTGATGATGCCCAGGTCCTTCTTCCGGCGCCCCGCTGGCCGGCGCCACTCTTCCACCATCACCACAGACTGCCGGTTGACCAGAAGGCCACAGAGGAAGAGGGCCAGTGGAGGCGTGAGCAGCAGGCCCAGGCCGTAGAGGGCATTGTAGCGTGCTAAGCAAGGGCAGTTGAAGTCGAAGGAGGAGTACATCTTGACTGTGACTGCAGCCAGCAGCAGGCAAATACCGTTCATCACTGACTCAGAGCTGGACTGGAGGTGCTGGAAGAGCATTCGGAACCTGTCCATGGCTGTAGCTGTGTGAAATCAGCTGTGGGCAGGACCCTGAGGCTTGGTGGCTGGGGGGTGGGGGTGAGCCTGGTGTCCACAGGAGGGTCTCCCTCTTCTTCTTAGACCCTGAGTGGACAAAGAGGAGGCTGAGTACAGCCCCAGTCCAGCCTTCAGGATGCAGTAGGGACTAAAGGCAAGAGGCTAGCTTTCTCTAGGCTCTTCTCACCAGATTATGGGCCCCTGTGCCACTCCCTCCTCTGTGGGGGTGTGTCACCAGCCAGCCCAAAGCACCTTTAGGCAAATAGGCCCTACCTTCCCTCTACCCCCTCCCTAGGTCCTGGCTTTTGTTTTCAGAGTTTGGATACTCAGACAAGTGGGTCTCCCAGGAGACAGGCAAATTTTGGGTGTGATGAGGCAAAGAGCAGACGGAACCAAATTGTATTTTCTGGTGGGGTTAAAACCTGACATCGCAACCAAGGTAGATTTCCTGCGGGCTTTTGGCCTGGGTGGAAGCTGGAGGGGTATCTATCTCTTCCAGAGGCCTCCGGAAGAGGAGATACTGGGGAAGAATGTGGAACCCCATCTCAGTGTTTACTTCGAGAGGGGCTGTAGAAGGGGAAGGCCTTCAGGTAGAGGGTACTGCATTAAATGAAGGCATGAAGTGTCGCACAGTTTTCTGGTTTGATTTCTGTGGCTGTGATAAAACACTGTGACCAAAAGCAACTTAGGAGAGGAAAGGGTTTATTTCAGCTGATTACAGTTCATCGTTGAGGACAGTTCAGGGCAGGACTCAAGCAGGACCCTGAAGGTAGGCCTGCCTGCTATTCCACGCAGCATTACCTCTGACCAAGGAACTTGCTCTGCAGCCAAGGAAGCACAGCAGAAACCCTGGAAGAATGCTACTTGCTAGTTCACAGGGGCTCATGCTTAATTAGCTTTCTTAGATTTTTTTTTCTTAGTTAAAGCAGATATTTTAACATATATTATGGAACAAGCTCTACACCGAATTATTTACATGTATTAATTCATTATACAATCACTCTGAAAGATAATAGCAAGCTAGATCTAGGAATTGTAGTTTTATCTACAATTCTGTAAAGATTTTGTTGGAAAAGAGAAGTTGGTCCTAAAATATTGGTTCACATATCTTGAGAATACTTCTTTTCTGATAAGAGCCTGTTTCTTTATTTTCATGTACTCTTTCTTCTTTTATTTGTTTTTTTTATGGGACTTTTGGCTACCCTAACATTCCCCCCTCTGAAGAGGTAACCCTGAAGCCTTTTAAGGATTAGATACACGCTCCCAAATACTTTTAACATTTTTGGCCTTTAGAAAGGAGTATGTTGCTAAGAGGCCCAAGGACATTGTGAGTTTTAGCCAAGAAACCAGCTACTTTTCTTTGGGGTCTTTTTCCCCTAACTGCCCAGCCAATTCCTACCTCCTTTTTTAAAAAAAAATATTTTATTTATTATTTTTATTTTATGTGTATGAGCATATTGCCTGCATGTGTGTGAGTGCACCCGTGTCGTGCAATGCCGTTTTGGATTTCCCTGGAACTGGAGTTAAGAATGGTTCATAGCCACCACGTGGGTGCTGGGAATCGAACCCAGGTCCTCTGCAAGAGCAGTCAGTGCTCTTAACCACTGAGCCATCTCTCCAGTCACCTACCTCCTATTCTTATCATCCTCTGAAGAGGTTACCCAACTTGCAGATCGGATGCAGACCGCTCTGACTTCTTCCATGCTGAACAGGGATGCAAGGGTGAGGCACCTGGAGTACCCCTGCAGTGGATCTATCTAAAAGACTCCCAAATTGTGTAACTCTTATCTGTAGGGGGAAAAGAAAGTCCTTGACTGCTGAATAGGAGATGTGAAGGAGAAGTAAAGGCAAGAGTAATTAGCATTACAAGTTCTAGACAGGGAACTAGAAAAAAATCAGAACAGGGCAAATTTCAAATGTTTATATGAGAGTCCATTGGAATTTCTTGACAAGAGCTTCCAAAAACATCCCTCTATTGGGTTCCTCCTCATTTTTCTTTTGTCTGCCAAGGCTGGACTTGAGAGTGATGGATTCAGGATATTTCGATAGCTGTTGGAGTAGTTAGCATCAGTGTCAGTTCCCTCTCAAAGGCTTCTAGGTTGGGGGAGAAAACAAATTATCCATCATTTTAGAACAATAGCTGATTGTCTCCCTTAGCTACAGGTGGGCACTGCAGTATTGGAGACCAAGATTTGAAGTCTTACATCTGAGCAGCACTTTCTGATTAGGAACAAAATCATCAATGAGAAATAATTGTCTAAATAACTTTTTATATGGACTTAAGCCTAATGTCTGGGAAGTGAAATCCCTTGAACTCTTAAAGAAATGTACTGATGATGTTATTCTTTGGTTATACTTTCCTTTTGGGTGTTTAAGACCATATACTTGGCGAAAATAAATCAATTTATTTTTACATTTAAGGTTGTTTGAGGGTCTGTTCCTCAGGGGTCACATGGGCTTGAGAGGAGTCCCTGGCTCCTTTCTTTTACCAGTTCCATCTATGAGAAGATAAGTCAAAGGTCCTGTTCCACCATGTCTGGCTTCACTTGGAAGCATGGATAAGATGTTTCCTCTGAGTTGACCCTCCTCTTTGTAGACTGGGCACTGGTTCAAGTCCATTTGGTGGGGTCTCCATGACCTCCCTGAACAAGAGGACAGGTGACTCACCGCAGATACAGGACATTTTGAGAGATGTTCCATAGTCCCCTAGAACCTAGTCAACTTTGGAAGGCAAGGGGCAAAAATGTCCTTTAAGTCCCTCTGACCAGATTAGTACAGGCCTCAAAGTATGGCTGTTAAACATCCAAGAAGGTTAGTTCCAGCAGTCTGGTACTTTTAATTACCATGTGCCATGTAGATAAAGCTTGGGCAAAGACCAAACTTTCTCAGATAAACCTTGCCTAGATATATCTTACATTCATTGAGCTGGTTGTAGGTATAATTTGTCAGTAGGTTGTTCAATTAATATGGTTCCCTCTGATTTTCTGAAAGCTAGCTAGGCATTATTTATCTCTTGCATTGTCTAACCATTCCAGCATGGTTTCCCCATTTAAAGTAGCCCCATTTTTCCTATTTCTCCCTTAATAATACCCTTCTTCTATGCAATATGATTCTTACTTTCTTTTTACAAATATGCCCTATTAAATGGCAGACTGTCTTATACACAGTTGGAGCTAAATATTTATTAGTTGAAAGAATGAATAAATAAATACTTCTCGACTTGGGCCTCAGATCAAGTAAGTGTGGTAAGCAGTAACATTTATATACATAAGAGTTGAAACCACCAGAGTACGTAGAGGAATTTCCAGAGGTCTCAAGACAAATTAGTGTAAGGAGAGAGAGCATTAAACTAGAGTCTCCTTCCTGCCAGACCTACATTTCTACTGAAGAGTCCTATTTCA